CCTTATCTCCCCTCCTTCTTTTTTATGTTTGTTACTCTCTTGTAACACCTCTAATCTTCTGGCGCTCATATGACCTTATGCAGTTGCAAGCGCCGTAAAACCTCTACTAAAACAGGCGACGTGCTTCTTATTATGTTTGGCCAAAACTCTACCACAGAACATCCGTGTTGTTCACTTTGTGCTGTTGTGTGTGCGAGTGGCCCTGGTTCGAGTCCCTGATGGGGATGGATGTGTTCCTAAACTGTGTGGTTGTTCGGAAGATTTCAAGGCTTTCCGCATTCTTGGCTTTGTGCTATCGAATCGGAGATGGACGCTAAATTCGAAATTTCCGCCTCTTCTTTTATCAGCGTTACCGTGTTGTTGAAAGGGGCTGTTAATCCCTCACAGTTAGAGTCCAACCTGCTGTAACGACCGCCTGAAATAAGACAATCACTTGTACGTGCGGCCACTTTCCATCCTTCTTTCCTATTAAACATCTATCGTCCTTATCTTTCCTCCCTTTTTTGTGCATGTTACTCTCTTGTAACACCTCTATTCTGCGGCACCTACGAGTACATGACCTTATTGTGTTGCAAGTGCCGTAAAACTCTTACAAAAAAGAAAGAAAAAAAAAAACAACCCCAAAAATATTGAGCAAATATAGACTGTACTGAAGTATTCTTGATGTGTTGTGTTCCCCCTGTGTTCCCCAGAATGGCTAACTATGGCGAAACCCCACTCCAGCATTATAACTATACAGTCATATTAATTACATCAATGAACATTGAGCAAATATAAACTGGAATAATTATGATGTGTTGTTTTCCCCCTGTGTTCCCCAGAATGGCTAACTATGGCGAAACCCCACTCCAGCATTATAACTATACAGTCATATTAATTACATCAATGAACATTGAGCAAATATAAACTGGAATAATTATGATGTGTTGTTTTCCCCCTGTGTTCCCCAGAATGGCTAACTATGGCGAAACCCCACTCCAACGATAGTTTGTTGAAGGAAAAACTTCAGGAAGAGTTCTTGTCTTGCAAGATATGTCTTGAGCCGCTGCGACGCCCCAAGGCCCTGCCATGTCTCCATTCCTTCTGTGAGCTCTGCCTCAAGGTGAGTGCTCTTGTATTAGTTGGGATGGGTGGTATTTTACGTCTTTTTAAACTCTTGTTTGGAGTTGGGGGTTTTGTTGTTGTTGTTGTTTGTGTT